AGGCAACAAAGGAATAGCCTGACGTCCAATGAAGTTTGAAGATCTGGACGAGAAGCTGTTCGTAACTGGGTCAGCTACCATGCAAGACCTTTCGAAATTGCGATCAAGACTAGTGAAGGAGATTTCCTTCATGCACTTAAGTGCTCAAGAGCGTAATCCTTCGCATGGTGGATGAATTCGAACCAAATACTGCATTTCTCTGTTCCAGCTCTACCATTATACCCAACGGGCAAACACAATAAGAGGTTGACTTCCGCCTTGATACGTTAAGCTACACCTTAATGCAACTTATGGAGACCTTATGGAAGGGAACTGGATTTGACCTGTCCCAAAAGCTCCCTGTATTCAAAAAGGCGATCAACCTAGCCCCTATTTGTGGTTGCGAAACTTGGACCTTCACGTAGAAGGGCATTGGATTAGATCACTGTTGTCTAACGGCACTTTAGACATTCGGCGGTCGACACAATGTTGGACATGGTAGTTAGAGCATACTGCTCTAGTAGAACAACTCCCAGACAGGTGCCGCGGTAACGATGAGTTCAGTGGCTCTGTCATGTTGCCTGAAAACAAACCTCGCAAAATGGCTTTAGTTCCAATATCAGTGGTTCATGCCCGAAGTGGTGCCATGATCGTGCAGGCTAGCGGACAACATGGATCGAGCTAGTAGAGACCGGACACGTTGTTGTCCAATGCGGAGCTGTTCGTAGTTGGCAGCAGTGTGAAGCATCTGCGAGGTCGACTCACCCTATCGCAGGACGCAATCGATGGTAGTGACTTAAGCATGTATCAAATATGCTTAAAATGCGGTTATACGTTTGAGGACATTCCGTCGATATCGAATGACATTCTTCTATCCGAAAGCCATTAAACGTTACATTCCAAGCATGGTTTGTGGTGCTGGAGGTCCTGTGACCAAATATTCACTACAGCCACTAGGGTCACAATATGCCCCGGGAAGAGCTCAAAGGTGGGTAGAACAACGCCGATTGTAGTGCTCTCCCTTCCTACTGTCGGGTTTCGTGCACAAGGAAGCGACTTCCGCTTGCTCTATAGGTGACACTTAGAATCGCACCAAAAAGGTGTACATGTCATCTAGTGTCCTCGGGACTGTAAACAAATCCACTGAATGTTTCGCGGGAGGGAGGAGGGTTAGTGATTGCCTCATGTTGTCCGTTTTGGAATAGCTAATCCCATCCAAAGTGCACACAACCATAAACAACAGGCCTAGTCACTAGGGCTTACCACCTTCACAAAATAACAGATGTAAGATTTATAATCGTGCTTCTTCTACTTTGGCATTAGGTTTGATTAGACAACTCAAAACGCCTGGTAGCTGAAAGTTCGCTAGACATAATCCCAAAGTAATGTTTAATTTCAGCTATCACAGTACTGACCTTCGATCACCTTGTGGATCCACCTTCTTATTTGCTACAGCTTAGCTACCGCCGATTTGGGCGGCAACGGGATAGCTGACATAATTTCACAGAGCGGAAAGATGACAAAGATCAGGACGACTCTGATTGGTCAGTGAAATCGGCGAAATCCAATCGGCCACGTGACACGTTGAATGCACCGAGAGAAGAGGAGGAGCTTGATTCAGACCCGAATATCGTTGATAGGTTGTGGGGCCGTTTGCTACCCGACATAGGTCGCGTGTATGTCTTTCATGGATTCCCATCTAATCTGACCAGCAACACGTTGGTGAACAGCGACTCTCTCAGGCCTGATTACCTGAGTCGTCCACCAGTGATTCTGGACGGTCCGAAGTCAGTCGGAGGGCGATTTGGTCATTCGGTGGTCAGTATGGGCGACGTGAATGGCGGTGGGTACAGAATACTTGGCAATTAGCTGCCCTTATTGTTCTGATTCTGAAGCGACTCGTGAGAAAGGTGCGGTTTTCACTTACCTGGGCAAGAAAGACAATGTTGGAAGACGGAGCATTCCAGGTTGGTTTGATGTGATTTTATATACATTTTTTTCGCCACGTTGCTCATCATACAAAGAAACTCGCCACCTCTTTGAATACCATAACAGATAACATTGATCGCCTTGGCTCAGAGGCAATTTCGTATGTACCACAGTATGCCTTTCCCGCAGCCCGACATAAATGTCCCGGTATTGATTCACTGACACACATGATGTTACCAGTCTATGGACTGCTTTTCCAGTCCAGAGCAAATTGGGACCACACTCTAACGGGAAACGTCATGCAAATACAACGCGCTGCAACCGTATGAAGATTCCTGAAGCGGTAGTCTCCCAGAGAAAACGAGGTGCTTAACTGTCAAAAAGAAACACTGTTCTGGTCGGCGCTGAATGAGCTACACCAGGCCATCATGAATGAGAGATTAAGTTGAATCGCCCGTCGAAACCAAATTCATGTACAAATCAACTTAGTTGACGAATTTTGCCGACTTTGTATCCAAGTAGGATAAAACTTCGATGGAAGCCCGGGGTCTGCACCAACCTGATGAGCCCTGATGGGAGTAGAATCGCTGTCGGACAATTTTCAGCAGCCTTGTGAGTAGTGTATTACGTCTAGATGGTGTGACGCTTTGTTTGCGCTCACTCTCTTTCACTTCTCCTTCATGTGACAACCCAAATAACGAATTAGACAGCAGCCCACAATACCTTGTAATCCGTAAATTCATTAGGTCAGTGCCGGACAACTCCATCAAGTTCAGTCCAGACCTTGCTCTGCATTATTCCGGCAGTAAGCACCAATTCAACATCGGGCACAAAGTGCTTTGAAGAAACCAACGTTGCCGTTTAACGAAGATCTTGGAGGTGTTTTGTTACCGATTAATCAACCATCAGTAAGCACTTAAATGTCATTCTGGTGTGGAGATTTTGGATGTAAGTCGAAAGAACGGAATGTCGTTCACTTACACCGCATCATCATTTGGGACACCTATTTATGACCCTCTGATAGTTGCGGATGAACCCTCCGAAAAGTTGATGTCACCATATATTTTTTACCTGTAGGTTTGAAACAATAACCTCCTATTCCCGGATGACTGCTGGATTGTCACTGAAAGCTGATAACTGTCCGGAGGCCAGCTGCTCCTAATGACTGAACAATTGGACGGATGTGTCACGTGCGAGCTACGGAAGAGACGAAGACGCCCTGATTGGTCAGAATGCCAGTCAATCTTGATCGAGCATCCATAGCTCAACGCCTTTCGTTCACCACCTCGCGAAGATACTAGAGCGAGGAACATTCTGTGATGACCCTATGTATACGACTGTAGTAATCTCCCTTTGTATCCATAACGGGTTGTCTGAAGCTACTGTGTGTTTTAATATCCCATAATGGGCGGGGCAGGCAGCCAAGGACTGACACGGAGTTGCACCACCGTTCATCAAAACAACAGTAACCTTATAAATATTTCTTTCATTTACTTTAGGTTCGGTATTCGTGGCCCTTAGGCAGTCACGACCTGTGCAGGTGAATTACTTGAAGCTTTTAAGCCATAAGTTTTTCCTCTTTCTCTCTCATCCCAAGCACAGGGATATTCTCCGCCTTCCCTATCTTGTTCCTACCTATATTTATCAGGTTATTTGGCCAGCCGAACTTCCCCGGGCTGCCCCCAACACAACCTGCGGAGATTTTGATTCAGGCCACCGAATGTTCAAAAGCTTCGTGTGGAGTTTATCTGCCGGTATTGATTTGGATGGGAACCATGCTCCGGATCTGATTGCTGGCGATTTTGACAGTAATCAGGCACGTGATGTATCACAAGTTCTTCCCTTCCATTATTGTCCGAATGTTTCCATTTCAGTTGGCAAATCGAAACTGTGGACTTGGATCATCCACGTGGTTACAAAAACCTGACTCTAAACATTTTTCAATCGTATTTCAGCAGAACCTTGTGAACTAAGGGCGTGACTACCAAGGCTAGGAGACTGAATATGGGTCCACATCCAGGGTTAGATCCTTTACTGTTCCACCTGAAGGGAGTCAATATCCTTGCAATACCATCATTCAATCAATAATTTCCTCCACTTGATGCTTTCTTTGGAGGACGGCTACTCACTAGCAGGTCAAACCTAGGAATCAGAAAACCTGAGTTTCAGCCACATGACACCCGCAACTGGATGGCGTCTCAACTGGGGCCACCAGACACAGGGAACCGCGGTAAATCCCCAAACACCGGCATACTCCAGTCCAGACACGGTTATAGAGACTATTCTCGACAAGTCGCTCATAATAGCTTTAAACAGCTGCCGTCGAGTTGGGAATTCTCAGCGACACCATATGTGTCGTCGGAAAGTTGATGCTAGTTCTGGACTGGCGGTGAGACCAGCATTATGTTCTCTCCTTCTTTGAGTCGTTCATAAATTTTATTCATTGTTTGGAGAATCTTTCGCGGGATATAACCGCTCTTCACCAACTCCATGCATTTTCTAACGTTATCAACACGCTACAGTCGGTTGTGCACTACGAACAACAAACCTTAGCATACTACTCATAATGTTGCCAAATCTTGTGTTCGGATGTTCAAATGTGATTCCTTGCACTGACCGCAAAGGTTCTAATTACTGGACGGTCCGGCTGCTGTGGAACAAGAATAAGTTTTGGCAATGCTGTTCGTTTCAAATTCACTCGAATACATTAGGAAATTCCCAGGAGAAAAAAATCTCACTTGCTCTTGAGGAGATTTTTACAGCCAATCATGGCCAACTTGAAATACTGCCATGCTCCCTCCAAGGAAGCATCCTGTATTCATGTGAGAGGAAGTCTTGATCGGGAACTCACCATTTCCATTATGATCAATTACTTCCATAAACCCGAAAACACATGTTACTTCTGGGACGTTACCAACCATTCGGAAGTATTACTCAATAATATCAGCCTTAGTGATTCATTGATTTAAATAGCTACTTACGAATTGTCATTTATTCGCCTTACTTTTATCCGAAAAGAATAAAGATTGTATTAAACAGATGATGACTGACGTGTCCGGTGTTAATGCGCCACTTTAAAAAGGCCCGAAGGTTGTCGATTGATAACAGATACGAAAATTGAGGAGCACGTATTCTGGATCAATCCGGGTCATCCTTTGTCTTCATTAGTTCTTATCACTTCGTCCGTCTTGCATGGATTGCAATACAGATTTAGTTTCTTCAGGCAACCAGCGCGAGAAACTCAAATCTAAATTGGAACATTATTAATCAGGAGAGAAAAATGGAGTGAGAAGATGTTTAAACAGACTTGTTCTTCCACAAAATCCCGGTGAAACAATCCCACATACGAGTGAAGTTCCCTTTCACAACGGGTCCTTTGTGAGCCACTCCATAAGTTATCTTCGAGATATGAAACACCACTCCAAGATATTAGAGAGTCATCCTTCCTCTGGTTAATGATGAGACTTCTGTTGTCTAAGTCGAATATTAACCGACGTTTATGGAACCGTCCAAATTGTCTGGTTTTCCGTATAGTAAAATGCAACCTTTAGACAACTGTGACTGCCAACCCAGACAGACGATTGCCAAACTAGCAACCAGAAGTCTCATTCTTTCTACTACATTCCCCCGCTTCACACACAAAACGATCCTTACTACATGAGTGTAATAATTCATGTGAACTACGTTCATGTGATATTTTGGGTTGGTTTCACAGTCCAAATTGTCGCCTTGTGATATGTAGCTGTAAGATTCCGCAAGCATGCATCAGGCAGCTTATGAATCGATTGATACCGATTTTCAAATCGGATAATAGGACAGATAGGCAGCGCGAAAAGCAACAACAATACATCCAACTCACAAAGAGTTGAATGAACTCGAAGAAATCAATGTACTTGGGTAAAAGAAACGAGTTGCAGTTCGGCTAATAATAATAATAGTGATAATACTAAAAAGCGTCCAGCTGTGACACCCCTTAGGTGCCTAACTGCCATACCACAAGGAGGAATCACAGAGGCAGGGATACTACCATAATGCCCAACCATAATGAGTAGTGGTCAAAACGCTGAGATTGGGTCTAGTCAGTGAGTTTATGTTTTATCCAGGGGTCTACACCTAACCCTAGTGACGTATAACAAGCCCATAAACCTGTTTGAATTATGTGAAACACTGTTGGTAGTGTGAGGAGATTTGGGAGTTTTGCGGGGATTTCGTTCTGTACGTGAAGACAATCTGTGCTGAAAAGCCGAGAAGCACTGTACAGTTGTTTCATCCTTATTGGGAATCATCAGCAGTGCGCATCTCACGAAACTCCGGAGAGTTTCGTACCCGCGACTTCCTGGCTAGTAGTTTGAACACCTAACCATTCGGTCACGAGCGGGTGATCAGCAGTGTGATTAACTCGCATTTAGACAGGATATACACTTGATATCCGGGGATACGCAATAATTAGTAGAACTCCAGGAATATTCGTAAACCACGATAAAATCAGTTGACTTCTTGTTGGACTGGATCCAGTCTGTGCACTATTGTACGGAAGGAAGCGGCGCCCTGACCACAGTACACGAATGGATCCCTCAAGGGAGTAATGATTCGCATGAGCTCAGACGGAGGATCACCACATCCTGGTCGTAACTATGATACATGAGGAATACTCAGGAATTGGGCGGTATTCTGATATCCGAAACTTCAGCTCGGATACCTTGTTCACACCGCGTCTCCCTAGAAAATTCCCCATTCGGATTCGTGGAGCTGTTCCGATTCATCGTATGACACGAAAAAATGCTGTCCACCAATTTTAAAAATTACATATAATACTAACTAGCGACTACGTGTTTCACCAACACTTTCTTCTCGTTAATAAAATCTAAAGTACCTGTCTTCCTGTACCAACTATACTCCAGGTTAGTTCAGAAGTCAGCAACACTAACTCAGTTTGGATGACTAAATTTCGAATTCCCGAACTGATCGTACAGAGAAACCCCCCACAGGAAAATCCCCACACATATTCTTCCACTAACGAGGCACGTGAAAAGGTCCTTTCGATACTTCATCTAACATAGTAAATCTCTATTCTGAATTCTTAGGTTGTTTTCCTTCGAGCATGTAACACGATTTGGTTTGATTCTCCTGAATGGGATCTTCCATTGGCTAGAACTTTACCCTGGTCCGGGCCAGACGAAACCGAGTGTGGAACGCAATGTCAATTTCGAGTTCAATTGAGCGTCCGCGTCCATGGAAAACCTAGTCTCCTTCAACGGCACCAGACCGAACAGTTTAAACTGCACGTAGCAGTTGACATGGATGCTTCGATTGTGAATCTGGTCTACAAGCGACTGGCGGGTGTAAGCGACATGCAGAACATCGGTGTCAGTGGCTTCATGTCCATGGGTTTGTTAGAGTCGGTCCTTCCCATTACGATCATCAGAGATACGTTGATGAACAAAAACCGGATGGTATTGTTGTCATTAACGCTTGAGCCTTAATCCGCTCGAGTAAGGCCGTACATTTGGAAACCCATACTGCTCAATGCAACAATCACACCAGCTTTTAGCGCAATGGTCCATGTTCCTGGACCGAAGGAGGTCAACTCGTGGATGCTTCATCCGTTTCTAGGTGAACGACATTTTGTCAGTTGCCCCCTGCAATTCGCCAATCCCGCTTGTGGTGCGGACAACATCTGTTATGCCGACCTTCAAGTGCGTATGATGGACATGTCTGTGGGTGCCCTGGAAAAATTGGTTGTCTGCTTTCGGGAACGTGTGACACAACGCAACCTGACAGTTGGTGTGGGCAAATTGGGGGAGAACGCCTACGCAGCCCGATTACGCATGACGATTCCCCATCAGTTCAGCTTTGTGATCTCGAGGAGTTGCACTGTCAGTCATAGGTGTATCCAGATATTCAGGTAACTGACCTATGAAGTTGTTCGATTACTTTTGAAATATCAAGGATATCCGGTTCGTGTATGCACCTAGGGAGTAATAGTTTACTCATCAAATTTCGTTTCTTCAAGGAGTATCGATTGCTCACGCACACAAGACATTGTGTGTCAGTCTGTTGTACTGCCACAGTCCAATGGCGCGACGTGACCGACATATTGGCTTATCACGGTATTTGCCTTATTCTATGTTGACTGCGTCTCCGAACGTTCGACATTTTCTGATGTTTAGATCCGTCACATGGCAGTACAGACTGTCACAGCACTTTAATGACGCATTAACAGGAAAGCAGGTCAGTCGGTCGCGAATTGAGAGATGTGTCTATTGTCCAGTTCTCTGATGACTGATGCCTTAAAAACTGAGCTTTGGATTGAAATATGTAAGTTACCTGTAACCTATGTAAGTTACCTGTAACTTATGCCTAACCTCTGTCTCCACACCATTTAATAGGCGTTGACTGAAACAACGTTTGACCGTTGCGACACTTGATGAATAACAGCCACGCAACTGAATGGAAACACGAGGGGATGAGATATTGCAAAATTGTCTGAGGCAAGTCAACAGCAGTTGAGAAGTTACGGTTGGGTTCGAACAATGGACGTTCCGGGCTTGAGCTCTCTGGCAACTCCCCTCACCATCAGGATGCCATTTGGCCACGTTAATGCAAACACAACGAAAATTTCGCACAATCGCAAATTTTCAGCTTGTTAGCGCCGAACTAACCATATTTTCCATTTCGACGGTTGTATGGTTTTAGATTCCAACAGAAAAATCCCATCATAATTTTATGATTTCCAACTGGATAAAAACAAGTTGGAAAGAGGTGGAGCCGTAATTATTTTTTATACTTAAAATTCGGAGAGAACAACGGAATAGACAGCGGAAGTTGTTTTGCAATCATCCAACAAAAACAAAGAGAACATTGAATTGCTTTTATGACAGTTAACTAGACCACTCTGGCTGTCTGTCTGTAGAATGCCTATTCTGAAAACATCAGATATCTTGGAATTCCTCCCAAATGAACCGATAAAGCTTCAATTCAATCTCGCCTAATTCCGCCGGCCAAGAATATGCCTAATCCTAACAGGGTTGTGCCTGCACATCATACCGTGAACCCTCTGTATTAATAGAGTGATGTACAGTTGATACTGCACATCTGTAGAACTATGACGCATAGTCCAGCGCTTATTTTGATGCAATGATTGACTGAAATTATTACTGTTCTTCAATTGTCCTCATCTGCTTTGGACCGAACCACAATCGATACGAGAAATTTCACGGTTCAACTCTATGAAATGCAACGCATACACCCGGAAACCTTGGGACCAGAAATCAAACACATCTATCTGGTTTCTAACGACGGT